TTTATGTTGACGAACTTAAGTAAAGCGTAATGTGTAGAGCAAATTAGTTAAAGTGCATTAGATGATAGTTAAAGTTCAATAGGTACTTACCTTTGGTGTAATGTATGGAATAACAGATGATACAAAAGTGAGATTGGATTACGTTAAAGTGCATTGGGTGAGACCATCGGTGTGTGGGGTTTCAAGTTGACAGGGGAAATTACTAATAGTGCAATTCGTAAGCCTTGAATGTGCATCTGTTTTAGGAAACTGATCTTCAATGATGCAAGGGAATTAGATAGTTTATAAATAGCATTTTACAGCATGAATGATGCATTCTGTGGTTTTGTGTAGTATATGTGAAAGTGCACTTGTTTGTTGTTTAAAGTGTATTTTAACTGATTTAAAAGCGTAGTTCTTATAAATCTGTGCAAGTGCAATTTATAGTTAATAAAGAGCACTTTACATCATCAAGGATTCAGAAGTGTGGATATGACGTGTTAAAAGTGAAAGTGCATTATCATATGTTTTTTTATGCTTAATATGAATGCATGAAATACTTATAAAGGTGCATTGTAAAATACCAATTTCAGGAAAGAGGGAGACAAGAATGCAAGTTGCTATGAAAGAGAAGGGGAAAAGAGCAGGTGCGTCTCATGAGGGTGAAAACGAGCAAAGTGGAGTGAAGAGACAGAGGAAGATAGTGCAGGAAGAAGAAAGTGATGATGATTTTCAGGTCCAAGCGGTTGAAGGTGGAGAGGTAAATGAGAATGTGGGAAAGAAAAGAAGTATCAAAGAGATAAAATCAAGCTACAACACAATACGCACAAGATCATCACCACATGTTTTAGTGAAAGCTATGAGTGTGATGACAGATGCTCAGAAAGCAGAAGTTAGAGAAATGGGATTTGGTGCACTTTTTCATATGGATATTGCAGAAATCCCTGGCAGGCTCGGTTATTGGGTGGTGGACAGTTTTGACCCGAAAAAATGCTCATTAGTGCTGCCATGTGGTACTAAATTGCGTATAACAGAGGAAGATGTGGCAAGAGTCCTGGGGTTCCCTTTAGGAGGAACAAAAATTGTGCAAAAGAAGAAAAACGAAGAGTGTTCTTTGTTGAATGAATGGAAAGCTATATTTGACAAACATGACTCCAAAATCAGCCCATCTGATGTTAGTGCCGTGATGCTTAGTAGACGTGAAGGAGGTGACTGGTTTAGAAGACACTTCATTGTTCTTGTTGTTTCTTTGCTACTTGACAGTACACAGAACGGGTATGTCAATGCACTGATAATGAATCATTTGGAAGATGTAGACAAGATTAGAGAACTTAATTGGTGTGACCATGTTGTTAATTGTTTAATTGACAACAAAGTTTCTTGGGAGAAGAAGAAAAACAAAGCCTTTACTGGACCTTTGCTGTTTTTAATGGTAATTCAAATAATTTTTATATGATTAAAGCGTTTTAACTATTATTTGCCATTATCTGTAATCTGTAAAGTACATTAATAAACATTTTTGGTGCAGTTGTTCTATGTGGACCGTGTTTGTATATACAGACGCAAAGTGGATAGGACTATACCAGTTGTGAAAGGGTGGAATGGAAAGCAATTGAGAGATAGGGAATTGCTGGAAATAGAGACAGGCGGGTTTGGGATGGGGTACTGTGATGAGGCATTGAATATTGAAGGATTTTTCAAGAAGAATGATTTGGTAAATGATAAAGAAAGAGATGGTGAAGAGGGAAGCGCACAGGGAGTGTTGGTGCAATGCACTGCTGGTGGAAGTGCTGAGGTATGAGTAAATAAATAATTGGTTCAGAACTTTGAAATTGAGCATTTATGTTTACATTAGTGTGCACATGTCAGAACTTTATTTATGATTCATCATTACAGGATTTTGTTCTCAAATTCGCAAAGAAAACAAAACTTTTGGCATCAACTGTGGTTGATGTAATTAACATGTGCGAACAAGCTCCGAGGAACTTAATTGAATCTGAAAAGTACATAAAAATGCAAGAAGCTGCACAAGAGTTGATTGGTCTAGGAAAGAATAAGAGACAGTTGTATGGAGTAGAAGAAAATGAAGTTCGAAGTACTGGGGAGTTGGAAGATGCAGCATTTTGGGCCGAAACGATAAGTGCAGTTGAAAGGGTGGAGAGAGCAAATATGAAGAAATCGTTGTACGAGCAAGGAATTAATGAAATGCCATCTTTCTCGATTGGGATGACACAAGAAAATGCAAAGCAATGGGACAGCATCACAGAACTGTGTGCCGATATTGAGAAAGTAGTCAATGATGAAGTGGTATACGAAAGACAACCGAAGTCGTACTTGACATTACACTTCCTTTATTATTCAAAATAATATACTTATTTTCACTTTTATTTGAAGGTACAAGGAGATGATAATCTAAGAAGTGAGACAGTGACGGGGACTGGAACATTTGTTGAGGTTAGTGAAATTTACAAGAACTAGTGAAATTCATTATAACGTAAAATTACAATGACTGCTGAGGCTTAAGTGTGCATTGTGTATCTTAATTTGAGCATATATTAAACTTAGTGTTTCAGATTAAATTTAATATCACTATTTCAATTTTTTAGAAGGTGCAAGGAGAGAGTGATCTGACAAGTGCAATGGGGAAGGAAAAAGAAGCGGTGGTTGAGGTAACCCAAATGTATAAGTATTTAAAAAAACTGCAAATGTGCAGCTGTTGAGGCAACAATCTGGATTGTATATATTTTAATTTGCTCATATGTAAAACATTTGTTTAAACAATTGAACTTGTGTAATTATTTCAAATCTTTTTAAAGGATCAAGTAGAGGAGGATATGACAGGTAAACGACCGAATGGTAAGGAAGTTGTTGAGGTATGTCAAGCATTTTTGTTGATTGATAACCATTAATATCCAACTGTGCACCTACTAAGTTGTTAAGTTGTAGTTTATACTCGAATTTGTGTCTTTATTTCAATTATTTTTGAAGGTTCAAGAAGATAGAGATATTACAAGTAAGGCGGCGAAGGGGAAGGAAAAAATTGTTGAAGTAAGTAAATTTTTAATATTTCCAAATGTTATAATGATAATGAAAGTGTGTGCTGGTTGAATTGGGTAGTTAGTGCCAATGTTATAATGATTGCTTTATTTAAAAAATGATATGTCAATGAAAAGTGCATTTATTTAGCAGACACATGAACTTATGACAAAGGAAACCAGCACTGCTTTGGTGATTAGAGAAAGTGCACTGGAAAGATCAAAAAGGATTCGACATGAAGCTGATGTTTTGAAATCTCCTGTTATTAGACGAATAGTTGACCCAAATGAAACATTAAACTCAAGTGAAAGGTTGATGTGGAAATGGGTGATGCAACAAAACGCTAAGAAGAGGTATAAAATATAACAAAGCATTGTTTAGTGAAAAAGTTTTTAATGTTAGTGGTAAACATTAAAACAATTATTCTATTATTTGTGTTAACAAAAATAGGGGCGAGATTCTATTTAAGTACAAACAGGTTTCTGTGACGCGGGGAGACATGATTAGCTTAGGTGAGAGAATGCACATGCACATGAATGTCATAGACGCCTGGACAATCCACTTGAATGATATGGAGAAATCACGAAGTGATGAATCCCCATGCAGATTGTTTGTGAAATCATATCCCTGTGTAAGTGTTGTGAATATCAAGTGCATTAATTTGATACGAAGATGCACTTTTTGATCGATATTTTTGCAGTTGTACAAAATGTCTGGCGAAATCCCCAAGGGCAAGGCTTTTGTAGTTTTCAAGGAAGGAATGGAGCTGGCATTGGAATCTGTTAACCCTGATATTAAAATGGAAGATGTAGATTTGGTAAATAAATATTATGCTTGTTAGCACAAATGGTCTATTTTGTTGCATTGGTATTCCCTTTTTTAAAGTAAATGTCTTGAATGTGCAGTTCTTCTTTCCAATTGTGCAACCACAACATTGTTATGTGGTGGTTCTGAACATGAAAAAACAGAAGGTCGAAGTGTTGGATAACTCATCGGTGGAGATGGACTTTGACGAAAAGTATGGGGAGATGCCACATACCTTGGTTAGTTTTGTAAACATGACACATTAACATCAAATTGTATAGGTTTTTTTTCGTTTAAAAACTTTATTGATTGTGTTGAAAATATTGCAAACAGAGAGACATGTTCGTTGATTTGTTGTGCGAAATGGGACTGGATAATGACAAGAACACATTTTACACCCCCAATTTGGCAAGATTGAAGATGAGGTGGAGGGAACCGGACAATGTGTATGACTATGGTGTGTGGACAATGAGACACCTGGAGACTTACATGGGTGAAGGGACTGTACGCTGGAAATCTGGAGTGAAGAAAGGTGATTCAAGGGCATTGAGTGCATTAAGAATGAAATATTGTGCACTACTTTTGAAGTCAAGCATTAATGAGGTGAAGGAGAACCAGTTCATTGCAGTGAAGGAAGTTGGGCAGGGACGTCATCTGACGAAGGAGAAATGAAAGAACAATTTGACAATCTAACTTTGATTTATCTGTTGCAAGGATTTTTATTTATAATTTATTTGTCGTTTTTAGAGGTGCAATGGCTAGCACATTTATTTTCAGGTTTCTAGCACATGAAACAGGTTTGTATGCTAATCTTTTTTTGGGGGGTATTAGTTGATGATATTAACTTTCTTGCTCATGAACAAATATTCCACGGATGAGTGGAATGGATAATTTAGTTTTGTTGTTTACAAACACAACTTCCTTTGCTAGGTGTTAATGTCATGTGCTTGGGTATGTAGTTTTAGATTACACACAATATAGTTAACAAAATTTGTTAAAAATGCACAATTGCCTTTACAATAATGCACCCTTTGTTCGTAACAACGCACTTAAAAACGTTTAATATAATATGAATTACAGAATCTTAATGGCAAAATTTATATAATAATAAGGAGAAGGTTACATGTTCATTTTTCATATGCATGAACACCTACGTGAAGAGGTCAAAGTGCACGATTAGATGATAAAAATGCATTAAATTATGCACGCAGTAGTAATTTATACATTGAAGACTTTGGCCAAAAATAGGGCATAAATTGTGAAAGAAAAAAAAAGAAAATAATAAATTCAAAAGACGAAACAATAAATTGAAAATAGTAGTCATTCGTAAGAGTTCGAAATACTGTTCCTAAATAAAAAAAAAATAAACGAAGCAACATTGCTCCAAGCTGAAAACCCAAGCTGTGAAAATGAATACAAAAGAATAATCATTCCGCCGAGTTCAAAGGACAGTTTCGACTGTCATGATACCCTTTTTTATTGCATTTTCTACATAGTCTCTTTGCCTTCTGGCTCACTTCAATTGCCTTCTCCTTGCCTCCTTTAATCCTTTTTCCACAACCCTTATTTCGAGCGTGCTGCGGTGGACGAATGCTTACTTCAGTAGGAATAGATGACCCATAAAAGGCTTGTATAACATCATTTTTAGTAGATCCTGATGCACTATTTCCTTGAGAGCTGGACAGTAAATCTTTTTGCACCTTAATGGCATCTGCAAACTGCTGAAGCAATTGAGGTTTTTGGTCAATCAGTCCAACGCAAAAATGAATATCAGACCACAATGTCTTCATAGCTAGGTTTTGTTCTTCTGTGTCAACACACTGTTGAAAAACACCATCTTCAAATGCATTAAGGGGCCTTAGAATGGAATCTTTGCACCATCGACGAAGGACATATTTATCTGGAATTGCATTGACCTTCTTCTCTTTCAACACAAAAAAAACGTGGCGACACAATATCCCAATCCTTTCAAAATGTTTGCAAGAACAAACTGTAGAACCTTCAGTACTATTGTGCACAACTGTGAAATTAAAACCTCGTTCATCTGAGATGACGTACGTAAACACACAACCTTCATGATGGAGACTGAGAACAGCACAAGAAAAACATGCACAACATATTTCCTTCTGAACGAGATAAAAAATTGAATGATTATAAACAGAAGAAGCATATCTTTCAATATGTAATGGAGTCTTGTACTCGGGAAAGGAGGACTCTGAAACTTTGATCAATTGTGCACTATTATGTCTTTGAGAATCCATTGCACTCTCAAACTGCATATAAAACTCCACCAAACTGAAATTAGGATTTGTGAATTCATTAAAAAAATTATTTTCACTCTCCGAACGTGATGTAGTCCTGAGCAAGCCCGCCATAAATATATCACCAAAATAAGCAGGAATCCACAAATCCCTAATCTCAAACATATGGTCCATCTCAATTCAAATTCGGTTGGCTGCAAATAATGACTCCACACAATAGAATTCAATTCCGTCATAAAATCAGAATTTTTACTCAAAACCGGTCCAACTTTCTTACTCACCTTCTCCATAATATGCCACATGCAAAATCTATGACATGTATTGGTGAATACCTGTGGAATAGCAATTTTCATGGATGGGTCTTGATCTGTTATGATGCACTTGGGTTCCCGACCCATTGCATTTAAGAAACATCGAAATAACCAAACATATGATTCCACATCTTCTTTCGACAACAAACCCACAGCAAAAGTAATGCACTTTTTGTGATTATCAACGCCAGTAAAGGGGGCAAAAACCATGTCATACCTACATTGTCAAGTAAAAACACAGTGCATTGAATAAGTAAAACATGTGCATTACGAATACGTTTGCAATTCATAACATTATTAATAAAAAGTACAATTTTAAACACCATTAAAAGTAATGCATTTTCAATGATTATAACGCCAGTCAAAAGGGCAAAAACCATATCATACCTTCGTAGTCAATTACAAACACAAAAGTGCACTAAATAAGAGCAACATGTGCATGACGAATACTCAAAAAATGCATAACATATTTAATATAACCCGACATTTAAAATACATGAAAAAAACAATTAAGCTAATTTATGGATGAATTAGTGAAAAAATCAGAACCTGTTGGTCTCATATGTAGCATCAAAAGATACAACATCCCCGAATAACGCATAGTTCTTTATGGAGACTGGATCCGCCCAAAATACACGTGTTAGCTGGTCACTCTCATCAACATCGTAGTCAAATGAAAACGCTGAACAAATTTCTTTCTTTCTAAATAGCTTATCTATCAACATTTGGGCATCCACGCCAACTAAATAAGCCTTCAAGTCGCGTTTAAAATTCTTAAAATCCACAGACGTGGCACCAATATTGGCATAACCCCCAACAGTTTCCTTATACAAGCGGTAGCATTTCATAGTACCGATATTTGCTTTTACACAATTCAGGACAAATTTTTGATGACCAATGTCGAGTTTCCTGTTGACTTTTAAAAATGGAAGTGAAGAAGGGGAAGACATTGAATGATTATGCCTCTCCTCAAACAATTTAATTTGGTATCCATCCATGCCTGCAAGCCTAAAAACCGGACGTGCTTTGCAATCGCACCTATTAGAAACTGTGCGTCTTGTTTTCTTGTCGTCATCAACGCATACGCCCGGAGTTGGTAAATCTTCAACATGAGGTTCCTCTTCATTTTCAGATCCATCAGATTCACATGACTCAATATCAGTCATGAACTCTTCATTTTCAACACTAAACTCATTATCTAAATCAACATTCTTGCAAGAATCACTCTTAGGTGCAACCGTCTTAGATGTAGATACATTTTTGAAGCCCTGCCTATTACACACCATATGTTTCCAAACAATAACGCCATCACGAGCCCTTTTTTGACTACTTTTACGTGATTCAAAACCACAAACTTTTGCATATTGCTCATAAAATCTCATACCATCACGCAAGGTGTTGAACAACATACCAACACGAGGTTTAAAAGCAGGGTCACAATCCGGTGTGCAGTACATAGTGGATCCCGGAGAAACTTGCATTGTATTAACATCAAACGATTGAGAAACGGCTGCAGATGCACTGAAGGGAACATCGTTTGAACCTAATGGAACCATGCAAAAAAAAAGTATTCACAAATACATGCTTTAGCACACATAATAGAGTTATAATTCAAATTTATAAAAAAAAAATACAGATCATAACAAACAAATTAAACTGCACAAGCAAAATTATCAGAAATTTTAATATGAATATAACACTATTTTTAAATGATTCGTATACACTAAGAAGGATTAACCTAGGCTTACAAATTATTCATAAACACATAGTTTAGCAAGTCCAATATACAAGCGCATATGAACAACAATATACTAACGCATGTGCATCATAATACCCTTTAAAGTGCACTTCAAAAGAATCATAAAATCGTATGAATATAACACAATTTTCGTATCTATGATTCTATTCGAAGTATATGACGTGTAAAATATAGAAATATGTGTAGAATCATAAGTCGAAATATACTGTATCATGTCAAATTTGTAGTGTGTCAATCCAAAAAACAAAAATAATTACAAATAGGTGGTTAACCCAATAACGTAAAACTTGGGAATTTAAGCAATGCAAAAACTGAAAAAAACGATACTTACTGAACTCCATGAAAGAACGTTAGATGGAAGACAACCCAGAACCGATGAAATCCAATCACAGAGAGATTGAGGAGAGAAGCCGGACGACCAGAGCCGATGACATCCGATCACAAAGAGATTGAGGAGAGAAGACTGACGAAGGAGAGAAGTCCGACGAAGGAGAGAAGACCGCCGAAGGAGGAAGCCCGCCGAAGGAGGAAACGGTTATGTATGGAAAGAATCATGCATCGTGATTTTAGGCGTGGGATATATTTTAGGCGTAGGAAGTATTTTACAAAGTGACCTGGATACCCTCTGTTATAGTTTAGGCGCACGGATCATTAAAAGGTAATCCAATGGCTCATATCTATTCTTTTTTACTCTCCTAAGATTAAGTTCTCACATGAACCTAAATCTATACACGTATATGTATATATATATGTCGCAGGTTTGGGGATGAAGAGAGTTGAAGGTCTGTTCTTGCTTATTTATACTATGAGGTTGGAGGTTGTAGCTATGAACAATCCATGTGAGTTTAGGTTGGCAATAAGCTTGCTTCAACATATTCATGTGCGTGAATGTGTATTTCTTGTTCGCATACATTGGTCCATTGTGTGTGTAGGTGGGTTTTAGTCCCCTTCAGTCAACTCTTGTTTGATACAATGTACTCCCTTCGTCCCGCTATGATTGTCTCATTTTATCATTTCGGTCCGTCCCATTAAAATTGTCTCATACTTTTTTTTTTGTAAAGTTCGTGTGATTCTAAATCATTCCTACTTTATTCTTACTTTATCAATTCAATATAAATTCATTTTTATTAATAACCGTGTCAACTTCTCTTGTCCCAAATTTAGGGGGACGGAGGTAGTACTAGTATATAATTTAGCCCCAACATTTTCATTTGTGTACGTAGCATTATTTATATGATTATTTGTGTGTGTGTGTTACAATACATTTTGTACATTAAAATGACAATTTTATTATTTATGTTATATATATAATTATTACTTGCTACAAAACTGTCACTTTTGCTATTTAAGTCGAGGTCTCGACATAATCATTATAAGATGTCACTTTTATTATTGACACATTTTTATCTGGTAAAAAATGTCACTGATGTTAAGATTTTATCTGATTCACTTGATTATAAGAAAATCACTTTCATAATATTTTGCTAACCAATAAAATTTATTTATTTTATTTTATTAATTTTTTCGAGGTGTCACACTCTCCATTGTCTAAAACAATGTACGGACCAATCTACTTTGTAATAACAATAATGTATTAATAGTAGTTATAATAGTAGTAGTAGTAGTAGTAATAATAATAATAATAATAATAATAATAATAATAATAATAATAATAATAATAATAATAATAATAATAATAATAATAATAATAATAATAATAATAATAGTTTATAATTGACGAGATTTCAACCATACACATTTGAAATTTTCGCTTTTTATTGAGTTGAGCAGACAAGACTTTTTAAAAACTATTACTGAATTAAAATTTATTTACAATATTAATTAATTAATATATTCCTTACAATGAGAAACATTATAATGTGGATAACATTGGTCTGACATTATGAATATCCCTACCAATTATTGTCAACACATGATCTCATTTGTCGTAATTAGTACTGTGAACCATGATTGTATATTAATGATCTATATCCGTTCAATCACAATATTTTGGTCTATTATGTCATATAATTATAGTCACACAAGTTTCCGAATCATACACTCAAATACATCCGAGAATTCATATTAATGTATGAATAACCACATAGTCAATTGTTAATACGATTGTGATACATAAGTTCTTCATCAACTATACATATGATATAATATGCATGACCTGAATAAGGACATACTAAGTTCCTTGTAAACAGCAAATTGACATATACTGTTGGTAGAAAATAACCTGGGTAGAGAATTCGGCAGCATTTCAGTATATTGAAAATAACCTTTCGAATACAAGGGGTTGGTGGCCTATTTATAGGCATACACAATAGCCCACCAATTAAGTGTTACATGGGCTTGGCCCGATTTATCAACTAACACTGACGCTAATGGGCCAGCCAGCCCGATAAGTAATTAAATAATCCCGGACCAATATCCGCTAGCCGGGCTATGTTCTGAGCTTGGTCGGGCCAAAGCTTGGGCGTAACGGGCCAATAGTCTTGGACCCGGCCCATTATCCCAACACGAGTCCCCCACTCCCTTAGTCGAGTAGTAGACTCGGCTAAAAGGGAGTAGTTAAGCTGTTTTGGAATTGGTCCGGTTTTTTGTCCGGCCGGCCGGTCATTCTCGAGCCTTGAATTTGATCCAATTGCTTGTGAAAGGATGGACTCTTCTTTGCTCCGACCGGGAGACCTCTTCCTTTGTTCATGATAAGGGGGTGCCTCGTTAAAACCTTATGATAACCGCTTTCGCGGCGTTGTAGTAAAACGGAGTCTAACCTTTCGGTTTTTCCCCGAGTGTCGTGTCTCTTGAGGAATGGCGGAGAAGTTTCTTAATTTAATTTTAGTCACGGGCTATCGCTAATTGTTGGAAGCTTTTTCAATATAGGAAAGTGATTTTGTTCTATATTACGCTAAATTATAACTAGGAGCAAGGTGCAATTTAAAGATTAATGTATAAATATTGAATATTCAAGGATGCAAATAAGGGCAATGAATTGAGTAATTAGAAATGGATATGTTCTTGGACCTCTTAATTAGGGAAATTAAAACTAAAATTGGACTAATAATTTCTTTCCTCATAGACAAGAATAGAAACTATCTTCATTAATTTATCCTATTTCTAGGTGTCATTAATGTGTTTAAAATGGTTGGCTTAAATTATTTTCTAAACCCATAGACAAGGTAGAAATAATTTTCCAATATTTTAATTAATAAAAATAGCCAAATTCATTAACTAGTTAAACTCTTTATTTTAGCAATTGAATTTATTTCTCATAGACAAGATGTAAATCCTTTTCATTAAATTATCCTATTTCTAGGCCTTATTAATGTGCTCAAATATGGTTGGCTTAAATTAATTTCTAATCTCATAGACAAGTTAGAATTAATTTTCCAAGAATTTAATTAATGAATATGGCTAACTATTATTAATTACTATTTCATCATTTCAAACAACTAGTCCAATTTATTAATTTTAACCCCTAATTTTAGGTCAACAAGTCAATCCATATTCCTTTTCTCAATTCATGCCCTAACAAATTTAGCTACTCATCACCATTTTTGCAATTAACAAAATAATGATTAAATTCAACATTAACAAGGAATTAAACATGTATGATAGCAAAAATTAAACAAAAATTATATTCTGGAACAATAAACTTGTAGGAACTAAAATATAACTTTCTGGAATTTTTCACCAATTTTTGAACCTAAAATCCAATTTTTGACAACTAATTGATGATTTTCCCAATTTTAACTAGAAAATGCAAAAAGCAACTAAAAATATGCTAACTTCGTTATAAATTTTATTCTAGCTACTGGGAGTGATATTACTATGAATCAAACTGAAATTAAGGCCGAACTAATTTTTTTCTATTTTTCTAGTATTTATTCTAAATTATGAACTAATCTCAAATAATTACCAAAATTAATTAAAAATTACTTATGCTTCGTGAAAAATTAATTTATTCAGATAAATAACTACCTTGAGGCTAGTAAACAGCTATATAATTAATTGGAATGAATTCAACAACAATAACTATTTTATTTAATTTTTGGAAGTAAATGCGAAATACTTGAAAAATAATCTGGAAATTTTCGAAGAACAGATTGAACAAACAAAGTGCAGATTCAGATTCTACTCGTTGAGAAGATGAAAATACATATAAAGAACTTACAATTTGGAGCTAAAATGAAGAAGATATGAAGATTTGAAGTTTCTCTCTCTCTAAAACCTTTGGAGCTCGAAAATGGAGGAAGAAAGAAGGTGTTTTGAACTGATTTAGGGTTGGAAGAGGTGTATTTGGGTTGAGGAAAAAGCCTGGTTTTTATAGCAGAAAAAATCCCGAAGGCGCCCAAGCAGGCGGCCGCCTTCCGTCGGCATCTGGCCGCCTGCCGTCTTCTCGCCGGCAACTCATCGTGGGCCGGTCTCCGTCAGCCGTAGGCGGCCACAGAGGGCGGCCGCCTTCCATCAAAACTGGCCGCCTACCGTCTTTTCGTCGGCAAATCGGATCGCAGCGGGTCCCGGCGGATCCCGGCCGCCGCAGGCGGTCCAGCAGGCGGCCGCCTGCCGTTCCTGTCTGGCCGCCTGCCGTCAAATCCCACCGGCCGGCGGTTGCTTCGTCGTCTTCTGCCGCAGGCGGTCACCGTAGGCGGCCGCCTTCCGTCCAGTGTCGGCGGCCTACGGTCTTTTCTGAATCCGGTCAAAGTCAAGGTTTGACTTTCCAAAAATACCGTAGGCGGCCGCGAAGGCCTTCATTTTGGCCGCCTGCCCGGCCGCCTTTAAGATTATTTGTCCGGCTTGTTCCTTATTTTGTGCTCTTCAATATTGTCTTCTGGACCACCTTGAAATAATGTTTCCTTCTTTCGGTATGATATCATTTGTTGCTCAAATTGGCTCATTTTGTGCTCAATTGACCCGAAATTCCGACAAACATACGATGAATGTGGTTTTCACCTGATTTCATGAAACTTGAACCAAAATATCTAAAACATGCCTTTTCTTTCTATTTTCAATCAAAAATCGCTTAAATTTGATAAGAAAAATAAGTACAAAAATGGACTTATCAATCTCCTCACACTTAAGCGTTGCTTGTCCTCAAGCGACGAATTAGTTGGAAACACACTCAAAAAGGGAAAACCTGACTATATCACAATCGAATTGCTATTAAAGAAGTAGAAACAAAAACCTCTCTTTTATTCTCAATTTTTTTTTATTTTAGAAAAATCACCCAAGATATATGAATTTACTATTATTATTACTAAAGAAAACTATTGATTATGTTAAACCACCGATCAATTCCTTATCCCAAAGTTTTCATTATTCTAATTTGGACATTCATTTTGTTCACCATTTTTTTTTTTTTTTTTTTTTTTGCTCTTTTTCACTCTTTGTTGGCGGTGTTATCCCATGGTAAATGCATATTTCATTCTCACAGACTGTGATTAACGAATGAAACAGAGCCCCTTTTCGGAGATGGAATTGTCCTATAACAATGAGTTTTGAAGAGGTTTATTAATAGTAACATTTTTTTTTTATGAAAAAAATGAATGTCCAATTAAAACAAATTCGGCCCTTTACATTCGCAACCAAAAACCCATAACAAATTTAAGTTTTCTAAAAATAATAATAAAAGTGAATTCTTATAATAAGGGTGATTATCTAAACTATTTTGTGATTGATAACAAATTGAGAAATTAATGTTTCATGTCAAAAATAGTAAAAAGATTGTTCTAAAACAAGGTTTTAACTTTTGAGTGTAAAACGCAACCTCCTCACACTTGAGCTGGACCTCGCCCTCGAGGTCTTCTTTTGAGGCACAAAATTGGGAAATAAAGGCACATTTTTTTTTTTTTTTTTTTTTTTTTGGTTCTTTCCTCACACTTGAGTTTTGAAAAGATTTTGTGAAGAGGAATAATGAAACAGGAGAAAAAATGGTTTTAAAAATCCTTACATCATCCATAGTCAGTTTGTAAGAGCATTCAAGTCAAAAGAGCAGCGCAATGTCCAACCTGAAGAACAAACAAACATGATAAAAATGTTAAGGAAGAAGCAAATCTAAACATCGCCTGCGCCATCCTGGGGGCCATAGTGTGGCCTAAGCCAATCTCTCATCTCATCAATATCTAGCCTCTGGGTCTCTAGCTCCGCCTGCATATCCTGGGTGGCTCTCTCCTGAGCTAATCGAAAGTCTCTGAACTCTCCCAGGGCCGTCTCATGCGCATCTCGCATCTCCTGGAACCCTCTGTCCTGTGCAACCCGCATCTCTGAGACTGAGGTCTGTAGACTCCTCATCCCATCCATCATCGCTCTCCAATCTGTGGCGCTAGGCATGTATGAAAAGGGCTCGCTAGATCCCTCATGTCCTGAGGGTCGAGAAGAACTACTCTGCTGGGTCGGCTGCTCAATACCTGGGAGCTCCTGAGTATTCCGCTTCTTCTTGATCCTCATGTTGGTAAAGGATGAGGATCGAAGAACGCGGATGCTCTCCTGTAAATGTGATAGCCCTGGAATGTCTAGATCTGGGTAGAATGATCTAACGAGGGTAGTGATGAAAGGCCCTGCCTGGATAGTGCGCCGCACAGTCTTCCCCTGGCTCCGGAAGAAACGAGCCATAAGGACAGCCATATTCACCGGGATGCGGTGAATCAAACTCCAAAAGAATAGTATGTCCTTTTTGGACAACCTGTTTGTGTTGTTAGGTCGTCCAAAAAAACCACAAGAAAGTACGAACGAGAGTATGTACCAGTGAGTCTCCCTCCATTTGTTCGAATGGGGGTGCATCCGGAGAAATGATCTGGTGTCTGTGGAGTGTCTGTGCCAGAACTCATCAATGTCAAATGCCTCGGGTAAGCGGGTCGGAAGAGCACGGAACTCCTCAGTCTGTGTGTATGCTGGGGTATAGAGCCCCATCCTCCATCCGAGCTCAGCCACAGTGATGGAGTGCTCCATGCCTAGAATAGTAAACCTCATCCGAGACTCTGACCCAATAACAGCACCCTCCTGCACAGCCTGTCCGTAATGAGTGAACTGAACGGAGCACAGAAACTCCATCGTCAATGGAAGGCTGGCCCTCTCCTGAACGAATAGAATCCTCCGCCATAAAGAGTCTCCTAGCAGGGCATCAATGTCATCCCAGTACCCCCATTCCTCTAGCATCGTCGGGTCCAGGATCATGGGAGGAAGGAGTGTGCGGTATTGCCCCCATGCCTGGAAGCGTCTGCGATCAGCAATAGTAGCAAATGGGATATCAGGCTGAGGTGGCGGGTCTTCCCGTCCTAGTGGTGGCTCCTCGAAAATGGGATCGTCACGTCTTCCTCCAGACATCTGCAAGAAATAAACAAAGTAAAATATTTTTGGGTTAGTTTTTTTTTTTTTTTTTTTTTTTTTTTTTTTTTTTGGTTGGGTTGCCTCCCAATGAGCGCTTCTTTAACGTCACTAGCTTGACGAATGTCCTCCCTTGGTTCAAAATTTTTGGAGATAGAGAATCTCCTTGCTTTTTTCAATCAGGCCGCCATGGTAAAGTTTAAGTTGGTGGCCGTTGACTTTAAAGGGAGCCCCATTAGCATCTTCAATCTCAACAGTTCCGTAGGGGTAAGCTTTTATGACCTTGAATGGTCCGGACCATCTTGATTTAAGCTTTCCTGGAAAAAGCTTCAACCGGGAGTTGAACAACAGCACTTTATCTCCAGCATTGAAATCACGAGCTTTGATGTGTTGATCATGGTAGAGTTTGGCTCGTTCCTTGTAAAGTTTGGAATTATGAAAAGCTTGCGCTCTCCATTCTTCCAGTTCATTCAGCTGGTAAAATCGTTCCTTCCCTGCAGTATCCAGTTTAAAACAGACATTTTTCATCGCCCAAAGTGCTTTATGCTCGAGTTCGACGGGTAAGTGGCAAGACTTCCCGTATACAAGGCGAAAAGGTGTGGTTCCGATCGGGGTTTTGTAAGCAGTCCGAAATGCCCAAAGAGCGTCGTCAAGTTTAGTCGACCAGTCTTTCCTGGTCTGGGCAACAGTTTTCTCCAGAATGGACTTCAAATCCCTGTTAGCGTTCTCCACTTGTCCTTGAGTCTGGGGGTGGTACGCTACTCCGCTTCGATGTTGGACTCCATATTTGGCCAAAATTCTAGCCATTGGGTCATTGTGGAAATGAGTCCCTCTATCGCTGATCAAAACCCTAGGCACACCAAATCTGGTAAAGAGCTTTTTCAGAAAATTCACGACTACTCGAGAGTCGTTGGTGACACAGGCCTGGGCTTCAACCCATTTAGAAACATAATCAATGGCCACAAGAATGTATTTGTTTCCTCTTGAGCTTGGGAAAGGTCCAACAAAGTCGATGCCCCAAACATCAAATACCTCACAAGGTAAGATAAAGTGTTGGGGCATCTCATTGCGCCCAGAAATGTTCCCGATTCGTTGACAGTTATCACAAGAAGAAACAAATACATTAGCATCTTTAAAAATCGTGGGCCAGAAGTACCCACAGTCCAAAACCCGCCTTGCGGTTCTATTCCCTGAGAAGTGGCCCCCAGTAGGACCGCTGTGACAATGCTCCAGAATGTCCTTTGCCTCAGCTTCAGTAACACATCTTCTCACCACCTGGTCAGCACAAATTCGGAATAGATATGGATCATCCCAAAAATAGTGCTTTGCTTCTGATAGGAACCGCCTTTTCATGTGCCTTGTCAGTTCGGTAGGCTCGACTTTACCAACAAGGTAGTTGGCAATGTCGGCATACCACGGTGTTTGCTCCTTGGCGGAAATCGCCATCAATCTCTCAGCAGGAAAAAGCTCCTCAATTTCGCATTTTCCGAAAGTTTCTGCTAACTCGGCATCTAACCTCGAGAGGTGATCAGCTGCCTGATTAGCAGACCCTTTTCGGTCCCTGATTTCAATATCAAATTCCTGCAACAAAAGAACCCAGCGTAACAGTCTAGGCTTAGCATCATGCTTTTGGAGGAGATATCTAATGGCCGAATGGTCGGTATAGATAATAACCTTCGAAAGAATGATGTAAGTCCTAAACTTCTCTAAAGCACAAACAATAGCAAGGAATTCTTTTTCAGTGGTGGTGTAGTTGAGTTGTGGCCCTGACAGAGTTTTGCTAGCGTAGTAGATTGGGTGGAAGTTCTTGTCCTTCCTTTGACCAAGGATGGCCCCCACTACTAAGTCACTAGCGTCACACATGAGTTCAAAGGGTAAGCTCCAATCTGGGGCCACAAGCACAGGTGCATTGATCAGTTGTGTTTTAAGTGCTTGGAAAGCATGGTGACATTCATCAGAGAATATAAAAACCGCATCTTTTTCAAGTAACCGGGTGAGAGGTTTTGCGATTTTAGAGAAATCCTTTATAAAACGACGATAAAAGCCCGCGTGTCCTAAGAAGCTGCGGATGGCTTTTACCGTGGTTGGTGGAGGAAGTTTCTCTATTGTCTCAATTTTTGCACGGTCCACCTCTACCCCGTTACTTGACACTTTATGTCCAAGTACTATACCCTCTTTCACAAGGAAGTGACATTTCTCCCAACTTAGGGCTAAATGGGTTTCCTTGCAGCGGATAAGTACTTTTTCCAGGTTTTCAAGGCATTTTTCAAATGTTTCCCCAAAAATAGAGAAGTCATCCATGAATACCTCCATGAAGTGGCCAATGTATTTTTCAAAAATGGCAATCATGCACCTCATGAAGGTGGCAGGGGCATTACAGAGACCAAAAGACATCCTACGAAAAGCAAAGGTCCCAAAAGGGCATGTAAACGTAGTTTTGTCTTGGTCTTCCGGGTTGACATGGATTTGGAAGTATCCACTCATGCCATCCAGGAAACAGTAGTGACTATGGCCTGCCAACCTCTCTATTAATTGATCGATGAAGGGAAGGGGAAAATGGTCTTTCCGGGTGGCTTCGTTCAGTTTGCGGTAATCGATTACCATTCGCCACCCGGTAACAGTTCGACTGGGTAGAAGTTCGGCCTTTTCATTTTTCATGACGGTCATTCCCCCCTTTTTGGGGACAACATGAATAGGGCTTACCCACTGGCTATCAGAGATGGGGTAAATGATACCTGCATCCAGCAGTTTGACAATCTCGGCACGCACTACTTCCATCATGTTTGGGTTTAAACGTCGTTGTGGTTGGACAACTGGTTTAAACCCTTCCTCAATTTTGATGGTGTGGGTACAAAAGGTGGGGCTAATTCCATTGATGTCCTCAAGTTTCCAAGCAATTGCTTGCTTGTGTGTCTTAAGGACTCCAAGTAATTTCTCCCTTTGTTCCTCACTTAAGTGTGCGGCGATGACGACAGGGCATTTGCCTTCGTCATCCAAGAATGCATATTCTAAGTGGTCGGGCAGTTTCTTTAGTTCGAGGGGGTGGTCGTTTTTCAAGTTTTGTTCATTTTTCTCCCCTTCAAACTCAGTCAATACTTCGTTAGAAGCTTGATCAATCAGCGCATCCTCACAACTCTCACATGCATCACTCACATCACTGTTGGCTTCTTTTAACAGACATGCTGTAACACCCCGGCCCCACCGGACCCGAGGTAGTTACTCCGGACCAATAGTACTGTCCTCACAAACCACCACGAGCCTTTACCGCGCACTTTGTCCTCACTCGTGCGCGCCCTGAGAAACTTCCCAGGGGGTCACCCATCCCAAGACTACTCCCGTGCAAGCACGCTTAACTTTGGAGTTCTTGGGTGATGAGCTCCCTTAAAAGGAGATGCACCTCTGTTGGTATGAGTAGTACTATTAATCCTCTTATATTAATCTCGGGTATTACAATCACCCCCACTTAGGATCGCAACGTCCTCGTTGCGCCCTTAAACCAATCTCAATCAAATCCCAGAAACTTTTCCCCTGCTAGGTGTCTGCCCGATATCCAACGGATCAGCACACTGTCGCAGGGTTGCTCTGATACCATTTGTAACACCCCGGGCCCACCAGACCCGAGGTAGTTACTTCGGACCAATAGTACTGTCCTCACAAACCACCACAAGCCTTTACCGCGCACTTTGTCCTCACTCATGCGCGCCCTAAGGAACTTCCCAGGGGGTCACCCATCCCAAGACTACTCCCGTGCGAGCACGCTTAACTTAGGAGTTCTTGGGTAATGAGCTCCCTTAAAAGGAGATGCACCTCTGTTGGTATGAGTAGTACTATTAATCCATTTATATTAAATCTCAGGTGTTACACATGCGTCATCAGTTACATGTCCATTTTCTTCCCTAAACAGATACCCTTCAATAGACTCAAAGGTATCAAGAAAATGACATCCTTGAAAGGAATCTGTGGGGTGTTTCATAACATCTGAGAGTCGGAAGGTGCATAGATCATCTCCGACTCTTAGAGTTAATGAGCCATCAGTGACATCAATCAAGGCCCTGGCGGTAGCCAGAAAGGGCCTTCCCAGAATAAGAGGTGTTTCCCTATCCTCTTCCATGTCCATTACTACAAAGTCGACTGGGAAAATGAATTTGTCAACCTTGACCAAGACGTCTTCAACAATTCCTTTCGGATATTTGACTGAGCGATCAGCCAGTTGAAGACACATCCTGGTGGGTTTCATTTCCCCAAGTCCTAGCTTCTCGACTATAGGGGAAGGCATCAGATTGATACTTGCCCCTAAGTCAGCTAGAGCATTATTGAAGTTGAAATTGTCTATAGAGCAAGGGATAGTGAAACTACCTGGATCCTTTAGCTTTTCGGGTATTGACCTCAGAACCACGGCCGAGCATTCTGCGTTCAAGTCCACGACTGAGAGCTCCTGCAGCTGCCTTTTGTTTGTCAGCAAGTCTTTGAAAAACTTGGCATATTTGGGCATCTCCGCTAAGGCATCCATCAGCGGCAGGTTGACGTGGAGTTGTTTGAGTAGGTCCAGGAATTTGTTGTATTTCCTGCTATCGTCATCATTTCTAACCCGTGAAGGAAACGGGAGAGAAGGTTTGACGATAGTGGCCTTTGTGCTCGGGCGGGTTGGTTCCATGCTCTTCTCAGTTGGAGCATCAGTTTGTTTCTCAGGTTCTATGATCAGAGTATCGTCTTTGTCTTTCTGCTCGACTTCTTTCGTTTGTCTCCCACTTCGGAGAGTGATAGCTTGCACATGTTCACGGGGATTTGGTTCCGTGGTGCTAGGCAAGTTGCCTGGCTGGCGACCGGGAACATTGCTTTGAGTAATTTGCATCATCAGATTTTTGATCTGATTGTCAGTGCTGGCCTTGTATCTCGACATTTCCTCCCGTGTCCTTGCCAGTTCTGCTACCAGCAAGCCTATCTCTGATGGTTGGGCAGCCTCCGTTTGTCGTTGGTGTGGAGGCACATAAGCTTGGTTGTTTTGTTGGCTTGATGCACCTCCCTGGTTACGACCTTGGAAGTTGTTGCTTTGATTGTTGTTGGAGTAGTTTTGATTACCTTGATAACCGCCGCGAGGAGGACCATTGTTGTAATCCCCCCGCCATTGGTTACCTTGGTAATTCCTTCCTTGGAAATTCTGAGGAGGGTAGTTGGAGTTACCCCCCCGGTTGCCTTGATTCGCCCATGGCCCTTCTTGTTTTGTTCGGCCATACTCCAGCAGGTTCACCTCCCTGTTGTTGCTTAGATTACATTCATCAACTAATTGACATGAATTGGTCAAATGTGGACCAAAACATATCTCACAAGAGAGTACAAGTTCAGTTGAATGGGAAACAGGTGAAAAAGTATTAAATTGAGATGACTGTGGGACAGAGCTTGAGTTCCCGAAGTATCGGGATGATTGTTGATTCGGGACAGCACCGATGTTGTTGACTTGGTTGGTGTGATTGTTATCATTCTTCAAATTCTTCACTTCCACGACCAATCCTTCAATCTTCGCTGTTAGGGCCGTGAGTTGGTCAACTTCAAGATAGCCTGGTTTTGTTGCTGCTGGAGTTCTTTCATCATACCAGTATCTTGCATTTGAAGTGACCTTCTCCACCAGAGCTTCGTTGGTGTTGGGTGCCATGTCAAGGAATGATCCCACCTGAGAAGAGAAATCAAGTTCTTTTTTGCTACTAACTTGAAGTCCATTGTAAAAATGGAACATCAAGCTACTAGAATCCATCAGTGTGAGTGGACATTTGTTTCTCATATCCTTGAAACGATCCCATGCTTCACTTAAGGACTCCATCGGGAATTGTCTAAAATTTTGAATTGCTGTTTTAATTTTAGCAACTGCCGATGGAGGAAAGTATTCTTGCATGAATGCTTGGTGCAGTGCCGCCCATGTTGTGAAGTGACCCGTTGGAAAGCTATTCAGCCACAAAGATGCCCTATCCCGTAATGAGAAGGGAAATAGGGTCAACTTTGCGGCGTCGGAGGTCACTCCGTTAAAGCGGAACGTTTGGCATGCTCGGGTGAACCACAACATGTGGGCCCTAGGGTCATCTTGCTTGGACCCGCCAAATTGATGATTGGACATCATGTTGACAATTGCGGGTTTGATCTCGAAATTGGCTGCCTCGATTGCCGGTGCGCTGATACTATCATCCTCGATGAAGTTTGGCGTAAGATTTTGCAACACCGTCCTTTCTCCCGCCATGCTTGGTTTCTTGTGGATTGAAAGGTTTTTCCACAAAGTTCGTTCAGGTTCAGGATCAAGTTCAATTAGACCTTCCACTCCTTTAGAGCGGGTGTGCATTCATTTATCCTGAAATCTTTATACAAATTGTCGCAAGGGCGAAAAAGTCTCCCTAACTAGAATTCACCTATGCTAGAATTAAATCAAGAAATAATCGTGCCATTCCCCGGCAACGGCGCCATTTGATAACCGCTTTCGCGGCGTTGTAGTAAAACGGAGTCTAACCTTTCGGTTTTTCCCCGAGTGTCGTGTCTCTTGAGGAATGGCGGAGAAGTTTCTTAATTTAATTTTAGTCACGGGCTATCGCTAATTGTTGGAAGCTTTTTCAATATAGGAAAGTGATTTTGTTCTATATTACGCTAAATTATAACTAGGAGCAAGGTGCAATTTAAAGATTAATGTATAAATATTGAATATTCAAGGATGCAAATAAGGGCAATGAATTGAGTAATTAGAAATGGATATGTTCTTGGACCTCTTAATTAGGGAAATTAAAACTAAAATTGGACTAATAATTTCTTTCCTCATAGACAAGAATAGAAACTATCTTCATTAATTTATCCTATTTCTAGGTGTCATTAATGTGTTTAAAATGGTTGGCTTAAATTATTTTCTAAACCCATAGACAAGGTAGAAATAATTTTCCAATATTTTAATTAATAAAAATAGCCAAATTCATTAACTAGTTAAACTCTTTATTTTAGCAATTGAATTTATTTCTCATAGACAAGATGTAAATCCTTTTCATT